AGGAGTCACTGTTGTGTTTGAACTGTCAACCTTGCAGTTCAAACTGACCTTGTGGTCCAGTGCTTGTCCTACAGAGCCACACTAGGACTCTCTGGTAGTGTAGCGGTTTAAGCTGGGCTGCTAACCACAATGTCAGTAGATCAAATCTACCAGTTGCTCCACTGGAGAAAAATGAGGCTTTCTGCTCCCATAAAGCCTCAGAAACCCTATACAGGGTCTCTATGACTCACATAGACCCTGTATAGGGTTTCCGCCACCGCCAATCCAAGCCTTGGATTTTCTTTTCATAATGGTATCATTTACCTAAATGTAAGTAAAATACTAAGTAGTAAATATCAAACTATTTGGCTCTAGCCCGATACAGACTTCAGGAAATGAAGTCTGATGCCTGATTCCATGTATGACAAAGCAGTAAAAAAATATTAGTGCGTTGCCTGGATTTTCACGTTGTGATAATACTAAGCACACAGTTGCGAGTCAGGCATTGGTCAGCAAAATGAAATCCCAATAGTTCTCATGATGCAAAAGTCTTTTAAAAGCACAGGAACCGGATACAATTTACATATTGGCATATACACATTTTTATGATTAAGAAAATAAACTTATTTCACACTTACAAAAGATATACAAATATATTAAATGAACTAAAAGTAGAAGCATTGCGTTCACACACCTAATTTTCTAACTTGCTGCAATATCAGGCACCAAAACCTAACAATTATTTGACACAAAAAACTAACAATTGAATCTGCCCTTTCTTGTCAGTTTTATGTCCTTCTGAAAAGTTAATCCTTCTAGAAAGTAGACACAGGCAAAAGAGAGATAAATTCATGGTTTGAGGCAGTAGTCTAATTAGGCCACAGTAATCATACAAGGGCGGTAGGGGGGACCTTTAATACCCTAAAGAAAAACAAGTTGCGTAATACTTCTCAGAGTCTGATGAAATAGAGATATTATGATCTTTACGTTTCCACTTTTTTCATTTATTATCTAAAAATATATACTTTCTTCTAAGCAGCAAAAGGAGGACTTTGTTAAGAAATAAATCTTGAAAGATCCCAAAGCTGGAAATATACTTGTACGAAGTCTTTCACTTGCCAGCACCTGTTATTAAAGTTCCTGCACCAGTACTTACATTTAAAAAAGAAAAAGAGGAAGGAACGTCCATCGACTGTACCTTTTGAGCCGGGATTTACACACTTACCTAACAAATTCACTTTCTCTGGCTCTTTCTCGTTCAACTCTCCAGAGAAATATACATACGTGGAAATACAAACGATCAGTGTGTAAAGATACACACTGTACGTAGGGGTTCATCCACACCATGACAGACAAGCCATAATACGATAATAAGAACAAATTACAATGACAATGAGAAATGGATTTCTAAAGCCCGTTGGACCCTTACTACCTCTATCTGCACACAGTTCCTCTTCAATTAGGAACTTGAAAGGAACAAAAAGGTAAAACTGGTTGGATTAAAGGAAGAGAAAACAGAATGTGCGTTTTTCGGGGATACTGGGAAACTAGAAACGTGACCCTGCTGCCCTAAAGTCCAGTATTAGGAATGCCAGCCAGCCCAGACCCTAGATTATTGTTAAACAGTTTGTAATCTAGAAAATTAAATAAACAATAGTGACTATTGTCATTAAGAATAAGAATAGTAATAATGATTGTCACCACGGAGTTCCGTACAGCAGATGCATGTGCAGCTGGCTTCTCCTTCTGACCCCACCGCCCGCAGCCTCCCCAGCAGCCCCACACAGCAGCATAAAAAGGAGCTTGGGCGCTGCGCGCGCCGCGCCCTCGGGCGGGGTAGGCTCGCTC